CCAAAATATATATCTTACAGGAAGAACATGTTCGCATGAACTATTCATCCATTTGTAGTGACTAATTTCTCTTCGTTTTAAAAGTATGAAGATATAAGGAAGAAATCTGCTCCTATAATCGAACTAAGTGAACTGATGTTGTCTTTGAAACTACTTCGATCAGATGAAAAGTATCATCTAAAAGATTCACGTGTATGTGCGTGCTCTAAAAAATATAAATATATATTTATCTCTTAAAAATCTCTCGTGGAGCTCCAACCATAGTCTAAAAATTGTGAGTTATGCAGTGCGGAAGCTATCTATTAATTTAGTTGGAAATGATGTTTTACTGACATAGAGAGAGTGAATAGGTTAACTTGCTTGATTTTTGTGATTGATTAAATTACTTACAATGGTTAACGTCCAACTAACCATCCACAATCACAAATATGAACAATTAAGTAAAGCAAGTAAAGTAGAGTTTGAGAGATGACACCGAAATTTTAGCGTGGAAACACTTCTGGGAGAAAATTCAATGAAACCTTGTCATCTCTAGCGAAATCAATTCACTATATCGAAGCAAATTTACAAACTCTGACTGAGGTTCACACCATCTCCACCCTACCAAGAACTAGTTGTTGAATGCCTTTGGTTTCCGACTCTTCATCCAAACACTCCCGACTTTAGGCTTATTTCTTAATCCTTGTAGATAGGTTGCTATAAGAACACATGAGACACCCCTCGAATGATCTGTTCCCTTCGTAGTGATTGATTCCCATTTCTTTCAATGATATGAAGAATAATGAATTCTACTACTCTAATTGAACCGTGTAAATTGATGTATACCCTGAATATCCTTTCGATCAGATGAAAAATATATATCACCCTAAATCAATGTGTTTAAGTGCGTGCTCCAAAAAGAGAATATGTATGTATATATATATATATTTCAAAATCTCTATCTAAAAGCTTCAACAATGATCTAAAAATCAATTTATGTTTTTTCCAATTGAGGACTATAAGTGTTAAAAGTTTCGAGAGGTTTTTATAGCCTAGAGATTCCTCATATTACATGGAAAGAAGTGTTAAAATTGTATAAGGATCTCTCAAAGAGTTTTGATGCAAAAAGGAAACTTAAAGTTACCAAAATTTGAAATCCAGCACCTATCATTTGAGTGCGACCTGTTGTACTTAGACAGTTTTCAAAGAGCGGGGATTTTGACAAGTGCGACTAGTTGAAGTAAAGTGCAACCGGTTGCACTTGGCCTATGAAAAAATCGTTGCAACCCTTTCTGTCCAAGAACAATCGGTTGAAACTAAAGTGCAACTGGATGGACTTTTTAGACTTCGAAATTTTCAATTAAAATCCCATTTTTCCTAAGCCCTATTCTAAGTATGAGACACTTGAAGATCAACTTCGACGATAAGACACAAAATAAATCCAAAATTACAACTCTAACGACAAGTTTTGACTCTGAAATTTGTTAATACAAACCTATATCTCACAAAAATAAATATCTCTGTGTTCTTTCCAAAGTCTTGCAAAGGTTGGAGATTATAGAGGTTTAAATACCTGAGATAATACTCTTTAAAAAATGTAATAGGACGTCTAAAGAGGTTTGGTGCTAAACGGAATAAAATCTTACAAAATAACATAAATTCCGCAAGTATCACGATAAGTGTGACCAATCGCCATTAGTGCGACTGGCCGGACTCCACGATAAGTTGCAATCAGGACTAATGGGACCAGTAGCCAAAAGTGTAACCAGTCGGACTTCACTGTATTTGAATTTCTTGATTAAAAATATATTTTTCCTAAGTCCTAAGCCAACAAATCTCAATCATACATTGTCCTCACTCATATACCTATTCTAAGTGATGTTTCACCCAATTTCATGGTTCAGGACAACACTCATTCAACTCTAAAAATTGAGACTCAAAATAAACAAAAGTTATTACAACTCAATAAAACAAGTTTTGACAACTAAATTCGCCAACCTAAACGGAAGGGTAAATTACAATGACACCTTTTGGGCAGTCATATACAAGTTGAGTGTTTTTTTGAACAATGACAATCCTGAAGTTTGATAAACTTGACAAAGACCCCCTCCCAATGGCCACCTGCAACATCTGACACATGGGAATTGACCAACTTGCACTTTGACTTGTTAGTTTATCTTTTTAACTTTAAAACTCAATTAATTAGACCAATCTATCCCTCTCATTCAGCATTTGATGCAAAAAGGCAGAGTACAACCAAACCGTTAGTTTTGCACCAAAAATAATAGCCGTTGGAGATGCATTTGCTATATATATACCTGTCAAATACAATATGTGAAACACAAGAGAAATAATACAAAATAGACTGAAGCTTTGTACAATTGAAGCTTTACACCAAAAAAGTTTGGTAAGTATTTCAGTTGTCAAATTTATTTGTTTGTCAAAATTTGGTAATTATTTTAGTTCTCAAAAGAAAGATACATAATCATGTACTTGAGCATTTATGATACATTACACCTATGTTTTACAATTAAAGTACTTAAGCATGTCTATTGTTAATTTTACAATAATGCTCTTTAACAAGGTGCTACTATATACTCGTAACATATAAGAGTATACGTGGTTTCATAAAGAATGGTATAATGGATGGATAATATTGGATTAAAAGTTAAAATTTTTAATTTCATTCAATAGCTCTACTGATCTAGGTAAAAATTTTAATATTTAAAAGTATGTTTTTTTTTTTTTTTTTTTTTTTTTTTTTTTTTTTTTTTTTACCAAACCCGTTTAAAAGCAAAAATTTGAAAATAAAAACACTTTCAAGTGTTTTAATAACAATCCCAAACATGATCTAACAACTCAATATATTCTTGGAATCATTCTTCATAAATTTTGTTAGGGCATTTGTGATATATTATATATTGCACCTACTAAAATATTCTTTTTTAGTATTTCAGTGAGATGAAATGAAGGGGTAGGTGGGATCAAGGGGCATGTGACGTCAATTTTGTGGTGAGTGATAATTGAAGAGGAAATAACCTTTTCAACTGTCCTAATATTTTATAATAAATGTGATTTTAAATATTAAGAGGTAATGTCGTCTTTTTGAATCATTTAGGCTCAGTTTGGTAGAGTGGAAATGGGAGGAAAGGGAAGGGAAGGTGATGGTGGGTGATTAAAAAATTGTATTTGGGTAAAATTGGTGGAAGGAAAGGAAATGAGAGGGAAGGATTTGGAGGGTTAACACAAGGCTTCAACAGTAGATTTCTTAATCTTCCAAAAATGGGCAGAAATGGAAGGAACGGGAAAGAGAGGCTTGGTTAGTAATTTATGATGCCAAATTTGCCCTTGATTACACACAAAACCCATACCTACAAGTGCAGAGAGAGAGGGGGGCAAGCCTGAGGTTTCGATTTTCTGAACAATCTGCAATTTTCTGAACAACGGCGATGGAACCCGAACTGGGTTTTGAACTTTTGATTCTTGCAGACAGATGTGGGTTTTGAACTTCTGATGCTTTCGCGGAGAGAGAGAGAGAGAGGGCAAGTTTTGAGTTGAGAACGAGAATCGAGATAGAGCGAGATGAGGCTAAAATGATTTGCCTTTTTTTTTTTTTCTTTTCTTGTGGCCATAGGAAACTATAAGACTATATATATATATATATATAGTCTCCTATGGCCACACAAAAAAAAGAAAAGAAAAAAAGGTAAATCATTTCAGCCTCATCTCACCTCCATATTATATATATATATATATGTATATATATATATATATATATATATATATATATATATATTTTAAAGTATAAAAGGGTATAATAGTCAATTTATTAAAATAATTCTCTTTTCTTTCTTCCCCTTCCTTTTCCCAAACATGATTATTACCCTTCCCTTTCTTTTCCTTCATTAATCAACCAAACACAATACAAAATTAAAATTATCCTTCCCTTCCCTTCCCTTCCCTTCCCTTTCCTTTATAACTAATATTATCCATCTCATTCAAACCCACCCTACCAAACATACCCTTAAGGTATTGTCTGGATTACAATTTTGACAAAAGTGTCATTATTAAAAAATGATCAACTTATATATAATTGTTAATATATATATATATATTTTTTGAAAAGTAAATTTAAATATTTTAAAAAGGGAGCCTAAACAGCCCATAGCAATATTACATTAGCAGGCCCACGCTTGAAGTAAGCCAGGCCCTGAGAGAATAAAGTTTGAACAAAATAGCCAAGCCCAAAGACCCCAGCCCAAGAAGCTAACAGAAAAGGAAACCATCAATGGCTTCAACAAATCCTGTATCAACATGGTGAAAATCCACCACTGGTGCGTCGCTGATCAATGGTCTGGTGGTTCTGGAGGTGGTCGAATGATAGAAGGCAATTCCCATTCACTAGAGATTCTTCTTGCATTGTCTGAGTCCTTGAAGGATGAGGATAGGAGCTTAGAACGGACTGCATCAAGTGTTAGGTGAAGAACTGCATTTACTAATAATCTTTTCTTCTGAAAAATCCTTTTATTCCTTTCTGTCCAAATGTTGTAGAGGAGGGAAGATACAGCCATTTTAGAAACTGCATTGTTGTCGGTGGTTGAATTCCCTTTCCAGTAGTGAGCCATCCATGCAATTAACCTGCCCCAATTTAGTGGTAATATGTGAAGCCCACAACGCATTTGTATAAATGTCCACAAGGGTTTGACAAATGGGCATTTGAAAAGAAAATGATCATGGGATTCTGGAGCATTGTTGCTAAGAACACAAATTGTGGAATTCAGATGTGCAGTACATCTACTATTCATTGTTGGCAGCCTGTGGTGGATGGCTACCCATAAATATATCACAAAATCCCTATCAAGAATTCTTTAATTTTGCTTTTGAAAGTAATTGAATTTAAAATTGAAGAAATTTTAGTTTAACAATAAAATCTCACAAATTGAAGGAGTCAACTTGGTACTTCAGATATAGCATACTCTAAATCTAATAAAAAATTGATACATCCAACAAGGGTTACTTACTTCTTGCAAATGAGTCGCCAGTGGATCTCTATCATTAGGCATATAGGCTGTGATGAAAACTGCAATAGAGATCTTCTTGGAGAAGCTCTCCATGGCTAGAGAAATGCAGAAGCCACCATAACTGTGCCTAACTAAGACGACCCTCTCACCATGAGGTAGAGAGGCCATGAAGTCCATCAATGCTTGCAAGTAGTCAAATATGGTGGCGAGTTGGTCGAGCCGCCTCGGATCCAACCCGCTTGCACCAAGGTCTAAAGCAGTAACCCGGTGACCGGAAGATTTGAGCAGAGTGACAAGCTTGTACCAGCACCATGCACTATGGCAAGAGCCATGAACTAGAACAAAGTGTTTCCCACTCTCCATTTTTTTAGTGTCATGAACTCTTTTTAATGTTATTATTATACAACATTGCCAACATATATTTATTTAGAATTCTGGCTGTAGATACCTGATTCTCGTCGGTTGAATAGTCAAAGAGAAGGGGTCTGGGAATATATCACTAAGCAATGTGAGGAATGCAGAAAGGTAGAAGAAGGGAGAGAAAACCAGTCCAGTCAGAGAATTGGAGCAATGGTAGGGAAGAAGCTGCCGTCAATTCCTGCCTCCCTTTTTCGTCATTACTTTCTTTTTATAGCCTTAGGTCATCTAGGTGGTACATTGTTGGGCCTCCATCTTGAGAATGGGTCAGGGTCATTCCCTTTTTGGGTCATGTTGCCCTAATCCCTACATTTTTGGATCCACTGCCAAGTGTACCTTTCTTGGTGAATAATCCAAAAATGGCAGGCTGTAAAGGCAATTGTACTATTCCAGCTGTCTTTTGCTCTTATCTTTAGACTGGGTCTTGCCTTAGTGGGCAAGACAGTACTAATTTTCCATCCTCCATTCCAAAATCCCTTCTGTGTCCCAATGTCGCTTGAAGAGCCCTACCATAACTTTTCGTTACTTGGATAGAGGTTCGACACCCACCGATCGATGGTTCATGGCAGTGTCAGATCGAGGTTCAAGGCCCGTTGATCAACAGATTGTAAAAAAAGGTCAAATCGAGGTTCTAGGCCCGTCGACCGACAAATTATGAAAAAGTCGGATCGAGGTTCGAGGCCCGTCGATCGACAGATTATGAAAGGGTCAGATCGAGGTTCAAGGCCTATCGATCGACAGATTATGAAAGGGTTGGAATGAGGTTCAAGGCCCGTCGATCGACAGATTGTCAAAGGGTCATATTGAGGTTCAAGGCCTGTTGATCGACAATTTGTGACTCGGATCAAGGTTCAAGGCCCGTTGATCGATGATTTGTGATTAACAGATAGAGGTTCAAGGCTTATCGACTGACAGATTGTTAAAAGGTCAGATCGAGGTTCAAGGCCCCTCGATTGACAATGTGTGACTCAGATCAAGGTTATGATCGATGATTTGTGCCTATCAGATTCAAGGCCCATTGACCATATATAGGGCTAAGATTGAGGCCCAGTGATCAACTATCACATGCCTTACTGAGGTAGACTTTGTCAAAGTGTTGACTGTTTGACTTGGCCCTTGGTGATGTGGCTGGACCACGTCCACATTTAGTTCCCCTACACGTGGCATTTTTGAATTTTGAAATAAAAGGATAAAGTGGCGCGTGCATAGAAAACGTAATAATGTCTTGTTTTGGAAACCAATGTCTTTTCGGCTGCTGTTAGTTACTTATTTAATGGGGAGGTGATGAGACACAATTGTTCGGTGTCTTTGTCTTCTCTAAAACTCTAACCGTGGTCTATATATAGAACTAGGTCAGAGAGAGGGAAAGTCATTACAGAAAGAAAAGAAAAAAAAGGGAAATACCGTGCCAGGCCAAGAAGCAAAGTGGAGTTAGCATATTGTGTTGAACAAACGAGTGTGTGAGGGCAACAAAGCTATTACTGTGTGTAAGAGTGGGTAAGATATTCGATAAAATGACAAAGAGAAAGCAGTTGAGCAAACCCGGTGAACCAATGTCGGAAGTACCGCCGGAGGAGGAATGGAAAAGGGCTCTGTTCTTTGGACCTATGGATAGGTTCTGGACAGCTACAAGAGACATAACCAGTGACGAGATTGACAGTGATGTGGCCCAGTTAATGGAAGGAAAAGTCGTCGTGGAAGCAGGAGCTCAGCCGCCGGCAGACTCTATGCACCGATTTGCCATTGAACAAGGGATGTATCCCTTTTGTTTTATGGAGTTCAAAACACCAGTGGGCCCATGTGCAGGATGGAAGGAGTGGTCTGAGTACATCTTCAGCCACAAAATGTATATGTTATGGCTGCGACAAGCACGAGTTTCGCGAGCCATGCGTCTGTCCCGCAAATTGAAAGTGCGTCGCGATACCCTAGGATTGGAATTGCTAGTGTCAAGATGGTGTAGTGCAACCCACACGTTTGTGGCGAAGTGGGGAGAATTTACACCCACATTGGAAGACGTGGCCCAATTACTTGGCCTGCATGTCATGGGTAGAGGATTTACAGTACCCCTGACGATGGATGAAGCGGAGAAGGGTATCATGGCTGCATTAGAGGAAGGGTTGGAAAAGACCAAGAATTATGGATCCTTTTTTAATACAAAGGGGGCAAGACGCGAAGAGAGAGCAGAAGGAGCTAGAAAAAGTACAACAGGAGCCTGAATACGCTACTGGTTCAAGGACCTGCAGCCTTCCTTCAAGGGGGACAAGTCAGAACGTCCCTTTGTTGATGGAGACAATATTGGACATCTTGCAGAACTCGCAGCATATGAAAAAAAATTGCCCTTGAGAGCTGATGGTTACAAAATCAAATGATGGGTATTAAAATCAAAACAACAATGCCCGACAGAGCCGATGGGTATTAAAATCAAAGAAACAATGCCCGACAGAGCTGATGGGTATTAATATATATATATATATATATATATATATATATATATATATAAAAATTGGCGTACCTTTGTTGATGCGACCCCGGAATGTCAACTCCAAACCGATCCTATCCGGTCAACTACTTTTCCAACACCAAAATGTGAACTGTGGTGGACATTAGAAATAAAATCAAAATGGGTACCATGGCAGCCTGAAAAGTTGAGAAAAAAAAAATAAAAAAATGCTACAAGAACAATTACAGTAGCTTACCTATTACTGATTAGTGGCATTAATATGATCAGCCATTTCTTCAGCACCAAAATGTGATCTGTAACATTTAAGATCAAAAGTCAAAATGGTTAAATCAGGACTAATAGTGAAAAAAATAAACTCAATAAAAATAAAAATTCAAAGATGTTACTGTGTTACATTTCTAATAAGTGGACGGGTTTGAAAAAAATAAACTAAATAAAAAATAAAAATTCAAAGATGTTAGTGTTACATTCTAATAAGTCCAACCCCCCCCCCCCCCCCCCCAACATACACACACACACACACACACAAAGATATACATATCATGCAAGTCCTCAGAATAGGTTTGCAAATGGATGGGTTTTGCTTCGAAACCATATATATACATATCATGCAAGTCCTCAAAATGAGTTTGCTTTAAACTTTGGTACTAAAAAATGTGTTAGATAGGCATCGCCACAGCATATGCCGGCATCATTTTATGCCTCTTCCTCGTTGTCGAGATCGTCTACTGCTCCAACAATTCTCAGGTCGAATGCAACAAGACATGTGTTGCAGAGAATTGCAATTCGGTAAAGGTTCGATACAGGTAGTACTGCGGGGTAGGATAGAGTGGATGTCCCGGGGAAAAACCCAGCGATAATCTCGATGTTTGTTGCATGATTCACGCGTAAAATAATAATAATAATAATAATAAATAAATAATGTGAAATTCCATGAGAAGTTCAAGAGGTGCATAAAAAAAAAAAAAAAAAAAAAATTGCAAAAATCTGGGAAGGACGGCTTTTCTAGGGATTGTCCGTATGAAACAGCTGTACCTACAATGGTACAGGGTATGGATATGGCCATCTTACTAAGCCAGTTAGGTAGGCCGAAGCTTGAACTCTGATTCTGTAAACTAAACACATGTTGAATGGTATTGTTGCAGTCATTCTTTTCATTCAACAATGTGAATCAAATATATAAAACTCAAAGCAATTCGTCTAGGTATGCGGACTTTCTGGTTCTTTAGCATGTTAGTAAAGTTTTTCCCACACCTTGTGGAGGTTTTACTAGATCTTCACAATTTCCTAGCTATGAATTCTTACAGCTCAGTACAGAAATTTGAATTATTCTCCAGTGAAACTCTACTGTGCTGGTTATCCAAGTATATATTCCCAGGGACCCCAGACAATGCACCCTTGAGTCGATGGTGCCTGATAGCGGTGAAGATAGCAAGTGGGATTGCGATCCCGCTGGGGCTGTTATTCTTGGGGGCATTGTACCATCGATTGGACATGATTGTGGTGGATAACACACGCTCGACTAGTCGCTACCCCATGGTGTCCTATGTAGCAAGTGGGTTTTTACAGATGTTCTTGTACAAGAGATTCCCTGCGTATGGCCTTTACCCTTGGAGTTGAGCGACCATGGGGCACGAGGAAGGCGTTGGTCAGGGCGGATGTGCAGGCGGGCATTTGGGGAAGTGATAGACTCCGAGCGAGAGTTTGTATTCAGACCCTATCGAGAGGAGATAGTAGGGGTGGTGGACATGGGGATCTATTGGGAAGATGCGAGAGTGTTCACGCCAAGGCAAGAAACGGGGGATATAGATGAGCAAACTTTTGCCTTGGTGGTGCTGCCAGGACATCTACCTGAGCGATTTAAGCTGGGCGATGTGAGCAAAGTGTACAACCCGAGGCGGGTACCCAGGTAATTTGGGTATGATCAAGGTGTTCCAAGTGACTGTGGCTTAGAAGAAAGATATGATGAATTTGATGAAGTCTTATTCTGGTATAGTGTACTGTATGACCTATCCGAGGAAGAAAATGGCAGTATCATGATTCCTTTGCGAAATCGCCATAGGGATATAACAGGAAAATACAAGCGATTTTAGGTAGATTGCATGGGGGCCTTCTGGAGGTTTTGCCTGCAGACACCTCGTCCTTTTGCTCCCATGCCTATATATAAGGATGACGTGTCCCTGCGCATGCCCAGGCCAGGAGTGCAAGGCCATAGATCTATAATAGCTCCCTTAGCTGCAGAAATGGGCAATGTAGCGTATGACGCTGTTATCTGTTGCACCCGTCGAGCCAAGAGCGGGTAGAAGGGCATCGACGGAGGCTCAGACCAAGAAAGTGGACGACAGTGAAGAGTCGATCGCTAACCGGAGACGGCAAAAGCGGAGAGCTTCGGTAATCCAAGTATCGGATGAAGAGTCGATGGGGGAGACAAAAGAAGTGGTGGAGCTCAGTAGTGATGATGCCTCGCGGAGGGTAGAAAAGGTGG